GGAGATCGACCCGAGCCAGCTCCTCTGACCGCCTCCCTTTGAGGGTAGTAGCAACAAAAAGGGGCTCCTTTAAAGGGATCTATAAGGGTCACTATAAGGGGTCTATAAGGGTACTATAAAAGAGGGGCTTTGATAATTAGAAATGGGTTTGGGGGGTTTAGGGTTTAAGGTTTGAGGGTTATGCATATCAGTAGATGTCATAATATGCCCGAGAACCCTTACTTTACTCTAGTTTTTACGCCCGCGACATCAAGAGTTGCGGTAGTTTTGCTTTGAGGCTTCCAGGGTTTCAGAGTTTGGATTGGGGTGGCGAGTCTGGGTTGCCTGTTAGGGCTCTCGATCGTTGTACAATTACAAACAGTTTCAAGCCTTAAACTTTATTTGTTTAAGTACTTCCCTTGCTGGCTTTGAGTGAAATAGGATGCGCCATCGATTGGGCCATTAGGGTCTATAGGCTTTAAGATTAACAATAGACTCAGAGTCATGGTGTAATCATTACGCGACAGTCAAGAATCGTTGATCACGCACGGTTGTAAAGCTCGTAAGGTTTAGCACATCGCACGGAAGGAGGGTGGGGGTGTGTTTTCAGGACACAAAGTTAGCCTTAAAGAGACTCGTAGTTCAAATCCCATACAGGGCATAAGGCCCAGTACTTTCCTCAGGGGTCGTCTCGTCCATAAGGTAAGGGGTTATAGGGTCTCCAGAGTTCGGGTTGCGATATCGATGACCAGGGTTAGCATGTTTGCCATATCTTCGGGTACTTGCGGTACGGTAGCGAAGGGTCCATTTCGTCCAAGGTAGCATCAGGTGTGGGCATGTTTGAACTGTTGGTCCAAGAGAATCCTCACTGTATGCGGTTGTCCGTATGTGTCACAATTGGCCTTGTAGCGGTGCAGGGGTTGGGGTCCCAGACAATGTTGAAGCTTTCCTTGATTGGGTATGAACCCATGGGAACGGTCCGGCTGAACGCTGAACCCTAGAAGCTCTAAACGCTAAATCCGATATCCTAAAGTCCTAAGCCTTGAATCCCCAAACTCCTGCAGCTACACACAACTGAACCCGGATCCCGTTATTCCAATCCCACCGAAATTCCGAAAAGCCGCAACCCCCCAAATTACCAGTCCCAGAACCCTATGGCCTGGAAGCCCTTCACCCCCGAGCACTCACTGAAAACAGCAGAAGCCCTTGGACCCCAAGTCCTTAAACTTGGGATTCAGGGTTTAGACGAGATCACCACGATCAGCATATCTGTCCCCTTCAACAGTAACAACACAGCCTCTGAACCCTTACGCCTAAAGCCGTAAACTCTTACACCCGAAACCCTTAAACTCTAAGCCCTCAACCCTCAACCCGAAACCTCCAATCCATAACCTCTAAACCGCAAACCCCCAAGTCTCAAACCGCTTCGGCAGCCTTCGATGGACGGGTGCACCTTCCGGTGCTCGATCGTGCTATCAAAGCCTGGACCCTGCTTGACAGATCAGGGTTTGAGCTCCGTTTGATGGATCTGCAGGGCTTCTTTAAGGGTTCCAAGGTTCCCAAGTAGCTACGGGGTTGCGGGGTTTGGGACTTTAGGGTTTGGGTGTTTGGGGGGAAAGCATCTTGATCTAGAGGCCTGAAGAATTATCTATAGACTAGGATTCAGGGGGCTTTCTCGTGCTAGAAGGGAGACTGTCACCGAATATTCAGGCTCCTATGTTAATGTTACTGATCTGCTTATGATGCTTGAAAGGTCAGTGCGCTTGAGCCATAAACCCCTTTTAAGGAAATATAGTTATAGCAACCGGCTTTAAATGGTTGGTTGGCTTTAAGGTTCTGGGTTTCAGATTATAGCGGCCGTTAAAGCCTCCCGCTTCGCGTAAGCCACGAAACTTCGACACGTCGACCGGAGGTGGGATGACAAATAGCTCCATGAGCATGCAGGATCTGCTTGGGCGCCTTTGCAGTAAGCCGAAAGGGACGATCCTTTTCTGGAACGTCGCGGGAGGCCTCTCAAGATTGTGGCTGTGGTGCTGTAAGTTGCTCAGGAAACGCGGCGCGCCCGCGCCTGCAGAGCAGAAGCCGCCTTTCTTTGGTCTCTGTATTCATGAGTTCCCCTACCAACCCCCACACGACTTATGGGCACAATTAGGCTCGCTATTCGGGGCTTACTGGTCCTCCTTCTCGCGAGCAGGTCCATCATAAACACGAGCTTCAATTGATCTCGACAACAGTCTCTCTGGGTGTTCTGTTTCATGGAGGTTTCCTAATAGCTGTTTGTTGATATCTTGTCCAAAGCCTAATCCTGAGCTTCAAGCCTTGCTCCTTTCTCGGCAGGGTCTTGCATATACGTGTGATCAGCCTCAGCATCGTTGATGCACAAAAGATACTGAAGGCATTATCGGACTTAGTTACTAGCGTTTTAACCAATAGCTGTTTTTGAAAGTGACAACTTAAAACCCCAATTCATGTACATATAACCTGACTCACCAAGTGCGATGACCCTCCAAGTGGAAGGAGCTCAGTCGACACCTAATCCCTAAAACCTTTAAGCCCCAAGCCCTAAACCCCAAACCCTGCAAGCCCTGAGCACTGAGCCCTTTAAGCACTAAGTCCTGCCCCCTAAGTTCTAAGCCCTGAACCCTAAGCCGCGAACCCTTCACTCCCTAGACCCTATGCCCTTTAAGCTCTACGCCCTGAACCACTAAAGCTTACCAGCTTTGGGCGCTGAGGGCTTTGATTCGTCTTTACCAGGTCGTCGAGGCCACGGCCGCCGAGTGCCGAAAGAACATGAAGAGCGAGCAGGAGCATGGGGTTTAGGGTTTAGGGTTTAGGGTGAGCGAGCAGGAGCATGGCATTGTGATTTTTTGCGAGCTTAGGCTTGAGGCTTCATAGATTGGGATTTGAGGAGTTTAGGGTTGAGGGATGAGGAATTTCAGAACCGCGGGGTTTAGGGGTTGGAGGGGAGGGTCTTGGGAGTTTAGGGTGGTATAGGGCTTTACGGATTTAGGTTTGGGGTGCTGTGGAGCCGATGTAAACACAGGAGCTTCATCTGTTTGGCAATCGTGTGTGTCCGTGGGGCAAATCTGGCTCTGTTTCCTCATCTGTCCTTTATGAGGTCTTGAAATGGGGCTTTTCTGCTCAGAGATTAGTGCTATAGTCTAGAAAAAGCGCGTAAAAAATAGCATGGACGTTTTTCGGGTTGGGGCTTATCTCCGGCCCAGCACCAATTCCTACACCGCACATACGCAAGCCGTGAAAAACCTATGCATGCACATGTAAGCATACATATTAATTCAAGATATATAGATATACATATACATATGCATATATATATATATATGTATATGTATCTATATATATATATATATATATGTGTGTATATATATATATATATATATATATGCATGTGTATATGTATACACTTGCTGCTTCAACACCTTCTGAGGCCCCTGACGCGCTCTATGTAAAGCCCTATAGAAGGATAGAACTACTGGTTTAGACAGGCGCTTCTGCCTTCCCTGTGTTCAATAGTCCAGATTGCTTTTTGAGGCTTACAGGGTTTAGGACCGTTGCCTATGTGACGCAGTTGTGGTTCAGGTTTAGGGTTTAGCAGGGTGGGTTATTGAAGGGCTTGCCCCGTAGAAGCCTACAAAGAAAAGGCATAGCCGCAGTACCGGCAGGATCAGCACCAGCAAGCACACATATGGGTAGTTGCTAGTACTGTTATGTGCTGTCAATAGTGGTGGACATGATCAAGGACGAAATTGATAGTAGTAGCAACGATCGAGGTGATACACAGGAGAGCAGCAAGGACCATGCTACGGTCAACTACAGCAGCAACAGTTGTCATCGCCGTCCAAGTCCTCGTCGTCGCCGCCGCCGTCGTCGTCGTATAGATTTTCGGAGTAGGAATAGTAGTAGTTATAGGAGTAGGAGTCTTTGCTCAAGATTCGTGCGGGGATTCGCGAAGATGTATGTGGGGTTCAGAGTTGAGCATTTCGGTGGTTCGGCTTTGTGTTTTGGGTTGAATGTTTGTGGTTGGGGCGGTTGCTATACAATGGATCATTACGGGGAACAAACGGTTGTTGCCACCACTACCACAGCTGCTATGTAGCACCACTCTGTCTGCTGCCACTACTGTTGCTACTGCGTACTGCTACCGCTACTGCTGCTGCCACTACTGCTACTGCTTCCACTACCACTACCACGACCACGACCACGACTACGACGACGACGACGACGACGACGACGACTACTACTACTCTACTACTACTACCACTACTACTACTACTACTACTACTACGACTACTGCTACTACTACTCCTCCTACTACTACTACTCCTACTACTACTACTACTCCTACTACTACTACTACTACTACTACTACTACTACTACTACTACTACTACTACTACTACTCCTACTACTACTACTACTACTACTACTACTACTACTACTACTAATCCCTTCCCCCTAACATTAAATGGTCGGGCCCCCCCCCTTCGCCCTAAATAAAAACTCGAGAATGTTTTTATAATTAAGGGGCTGTTGTTATCTCAACTGCCAGAAACACAGGTTCTACAAGTAATTAAATAGAAAAAAACGATAAATAAATGAGCACATGTGGTGAATGCCAGAAGCTTGGAAATATGTGAAAGACTTAATTATCATTAATGACTAATTAATGATAGTTACATATGATAAGAACTAATTAATGATGTTCCAAGCTTCTGGCATTCGCTACAAGTGCTTTGCTTCTGAGAGGGTGTGTTGAGTTGTCTCAGCAATCTGCCCGCTCCGCCGCAGACAGGCAGCCTCAAAGGAGGCCTTTGTGCCTTGGGGCACGAAGGCCCGAGCCACAGGCTGTCACACACACACACACACACACACACTCACACTCACACTCACACTCACACTCAAGCACAGACAGGGTGCTGTGAGACCCACCGGAGCACTCAAACACAGACACTCACTCACACTCACTTAGGCAGACAGGACCGAGTGAGTGCTTCGCTTGCCATGGGCGGCGAGGAAGCGCAGGAGAAGGCCGGATCTTTCTGCAACATGTGCAAATTCAAAAAGGGTGGATTGTGCTCTGGAGTCATTACTGGAAGTGCTTTGTGAAGGATGCTGCTAGGACTGTAGAATCATACATTGCATAGAGGACCCCATGGTCTAACGGATAAGGCGCTCTGTGGGCAACCCACGGAAAGATGGGTGGTTCGAGTCCCCCTGGGGTTGTGCTCATGTGCTCATCGGAGATGTTAGTACTCCTGTCCAAATGCTCTTGGTCTAGGCCCAAAATGACAGGGCGGGGAATCGAGCCCATGTACATTGGATGTGTACCTGCAGAGTTGACATCTTACTCATTGAGCCACAGCATGGATGCCACGAACCTGCTCAAAGGCATTCAATGCCTTGATTGATGGGGGGATGGTTGTGAAAACTCGTAATTGCTGGAAGTGTTCTACTGGAAGTACCTCGTTTCGCAAGCTGGCTGGATTGTGCCAAATCGCAGTACAAGCTTAGTACTGGAAGTGCATCGTTCCCAACCCTGTGCGGCAGGGTCCCGGTAGCGTAGTGGTTAGTACATCCTCTCCTGACCCTACCAAGCAGGGAGTCCCCAGCGGGCCACCTTGAGGCCAACGCGGCCGGGCCATTTCTTAAAAATTCATGCCGCCCAGCCCACCACGGGCGACAATACAATTAATTAGCACAAGGTCAGCACTGGAAGTGTCTCCTGTCCGATGCTGGCTGGATGGTGCTGCATTGTAGTACAAGCTGAGAACTGGAAGTGCCTCGTTTCGGATGGTGATGCATTGTAGTTAATTCTCAGTACTGGAAGTGTCTCCTGTCCGATGCTGGCTGGATGGTGCTCAACTGTAGTACAAGCTTAGTACTGGAAGTGCCTCGTTTCGGATGCTGTCTGGATGATGCTGCATTGTAATTTATTGGTGCAAGCTCAGTGCTGGAAGTGTCTCCGATGCTGGCTGGATGGTGCTCAATTGTAGTAATTGCAAGCTTAGTACTGGAAGTGCCTCGTTTCGGATGCTGTCTGGATGATGCTGCATTGTAATTTATTGGTATAAGTTTAGTGCTGGAAGTGTCTCCTGTCTGATGCTGGCTGGATGGTGCTCAATTGTAGTACAAGCTTAGTACTGGAAGTGCCTCTTTTCGGATGCTGTTTGGATGATGTCAGTGCTGGAAGTGTCTCCTGTCCGATGCTGGCTGGATGGTGCTCAATTGTAGTACAAGCTTAGTACTGGAAGTGCCTCGTTTCGGATGCTGTTTGGATGATGCTATTTATTGGTAATTACAAGCTCAGTGCTGGAAGTGTCTCCTGTCCGATGCTGGCTGGATGGTGCTCAATTGTAGTACAAGCTTAGTACTGGAAGTGCCTCCTTTCGGATGCTGTCTGGGAGGTGCTGGCATGTTTCTTCTCATTGTTTCTTTTTTTCCAAACGTGCAGGCCAAGCTGCGAGCCGCTTTGGAGAATGCTTTGGCCGAGCTAGACAAGGCGCAGGGGTGCTGATGAATGAACTGACCGAATTGCTCTAAACATCAGGACGACGAGAGGGAAGCCAAAAGAAGGAAGACAGCCAAGACAGTAGAGGTAGTTGGCTTGATCACGGAAGAACCACAGGCAGTGGTTCGCAGGCAGAGCAGCCAGACAGCTAGAGGAGTCAAGAGGCAGGCTAGCTTTCACACACCTTCGCCGAAGAAGCGTCTGTTCAGTCCTGACAGCAAGGGTAGAGACAGCCAGAGCCCAGGCAGCCAGAGCCCGGGCAGCCAGAGCCCAAGCAGCCAGAGCCCCGACAGCAACCCTGTGCAAAAGAGAAAGATAGAACAGCTCAAAAAGACCTTAGGCCAAGGCAGTCCAGTCTACTACAGGCTAGACTACCTTTGGGGCAAGGCAGCAGAGGCAGAGGCTAAGCCCGGCCTTTCGCCAGACACAGCTAGTGACAGACAGAAACAGCAGCAAGCGGAGAACCTGCAAAACCTGCAGCAGAAAGCCAGCCAAGCAGTGGAAAAGCTCGGACTGGAGCCAGCTGTTGGAGTTCTTAGAAAGAGAAAGGGAGGCAGACCGCTAGGCAGTAAGCAGAAGACGAAACGGGTGCCGCATCTTCGCAAGAAGCGATGTGATGTGACATTCCACGGGATTACTCAGCATTCAAATCGCCACCTTCTGCAGCCTCATGCGCCTCCTAGGCAGATACAGGGACTTTGCCTGCTCTCCAGGCGGCCAGGCGCTTCTTTGCAGTGTTGAATGGGTTCCCGAACACATTCTGCTTCCCCTTGGTGCCGTTGGTTCTGCCAGGCCTTCCCACTTGTCTTTCTGTATTGCCAGGGACTCCGGCCACAGGTGTGCACCTACACGGCCGGGCAGCTACAGCCGATCATGGTGGTGCCGCTTTCTTCTTGCGCTGTTGGCGCTCCCTGTGCCTGTGGCAGCAGGGCCGCCCGGCCTACTCACAACTGCACTATCCCTTGGCCTGCCTGACGCCAGAGCCAAGCTTTCCATGATGGAAGTCTTAGACAGAGCAGCCGTAGAGCAGAAAAGTCGCCGCGCAGCCAGGCAGCATGTCATGAGGCTGTATGGCGTGAGCGAGTCTTTTTGCTGGAACCTGGAAAAAGACTATCACAGACAGAAAGTCAGAAACTTTCTCGCCAGCACGGGGCGAGGACAGAGTGCCAGACAGGCAGGCAGCCATTTGGGTCTCGTGCACCTCGTCAGCAAGTCAACAGGCAGGAGACTGGCTGACCCAGGCAAAGTGCTGGGTAGGCCAGACTTTCTCCTGCCAGTCTGGTCTGAGACCCGTGCTTGGGCCTTGAATGAGGAAGCCAGCCAGCACGTCCTGACGAGCACAGACGTGCTGATGGACTTCGAAGAGAGGCTCGACAAAGCCATTGCAGTCAGGCAGGCAGAACAGGAAAGTGGTCTTCTTGACCAGACAGGTCAGAAGGAGCTGGCAGCCATGGTGCAAAAGAAAACCTCGCTAGCCAGCAAGCCAAAGCAGAGGAGCAAGTACCAGATCCAGCTCCTCGCAAAGTGCGGTCTTCGCAACAGATCCTGCCAACAGACAGCCAACCTGAGCCAGGAGGAAGAGAAAGCCAGGCTAGAAAGCTCCTGGCGACTCTGGGACATGCTTCTGGAACAGGCAGCCAGTCCCACGCCACAGCCGGACTTGCCTGTAGCAAGCCCAGAGCAGTGGGCCCCACAGCGAGCAGAGACAGCCATCACCATGTCAGATCAAGTACCTGCTTGGCTCAAGCCAACGCCAGGGAAGGTGTTGACATCGGTGGTGCGCTTGAAGCTAGCCAGAGAGCAAAGCAAGATCAGGCGAGAGGACAGGAGAGCCAGACAAGGACAGGCAAAGGCCAAACCTTCGGCCAAAGCCAAGGCAGCACCTTGGCGGTTTTGCTGGGTGGATTCGAAGTGGAGTTTCGGGTTTAGGGTTTCCTTAAACCCTAAACCCAAAAGCCAAAGCCTAAACCTTCCTACACCTTCATGCTTTCGAAACCAACCGAGGCACCGAGGCTGGCATGTGCTGCTCGAGCCCCAGGTGTGGCAGCAAGGTGGCGAATCAGCTTGGTAGCTAGACAGGCAGTGCAGAACTTCTTTGCGCCAGACAGACAGCCAGTCGGTGTCGTTATGCCCACGATACTCGTCACATACGGCAAACACTGCAGACTTGAAAACATCAGCCAGGAAGGCACGTGGATCAAGTCCGAGTGCTTCCAGGTAGGCAGCCAGACAGTCAGGAGAAGGGCAGGCCAGCGAGTGCCAGGACAGGTCATGCGCACTTGGCGCAAGCTGCGAGCCACCCAGCCACACCTGTTTGATGGCAGTGTCAGGGTGTGGTGCCAGCCAGCCGCAGTGGTAGACAGCGTCATTTACAGATGGCAGCTAGAGCTCGAGTCAGAAGAGCACAGGTTGTCGATATGTTCGGCGGAGCATGGACGACGGAGTCCATGCACGCCGCTGCACTCCTGCAGCGAGCTCAGACAGGCATTGCAGCCGGGTGCACCGGCTTGAGCCAGGTGACAGACATCGGGTTCGCCCAGCCAGCCAAGGCAGCTCTCCGGAGGTGGCAGGAAGACCTGAAGCAGCGCATGAGAGAGAAGCCAGACAGCAAAAGGTGCATTGCACCTATAAGACAGGCCCGGCAGACATTCTGGAGGCAGCTAGACAGATGCACGCCAGGATGGTGCAGTTGAATGAGACAGAGAAGACAGTCGTTCGCTGCATGCGGCAGGGAGGCTGGTTCCACTTCCGTCCAGACAGTGAAGGCAGGCTTCAGGACTGTGGCAGCCAGAAATGGTGTCTGGACTTCCCTGAAGGCAATGCCAAGCTAGGCAGCGACCACCTCAGAGACAGGTCTCGTTGGGTGGACAAGACAGGCAAGGTGCTTCCGTGGACAGAGGCAGACAGCAAGACATTTGATGAATCCAAGGCATTCGAACCCGAGGCTACGTACCTGCTTGGCCAGACAGACATACACTTGAGCTTCCGAGCGAAGCCCAATCTCCTTGCTCAGTCAGAAAGAGAGCTCAGAGAGGTCATTCTGAGACAGGTCCACCCGAACCAGAGGAGACGGCTTTTCCAGGAACAGGTGGACCAGACAACAAGCCAGACAAAGACTGAGAAGCAGCAGAAAAAGGAAAAAAGGCTCAAGAACGCGAAGCAAGACAGAAAAAGGCGCAAACTCTTGAAAGAATGGAGACAGCAGCAAGCCAACAAGACAAAGAAGCAGGCTCTGCTGTCTGTCGTGCCCAAAGTGGGCCAGAAAAAGGCCAAGAAGAAGGCCTCCAAAGGCGACAAGAAGCCCAGCGAGGTGAAGAAGCAGCAGAAGAAATACCAGGCGAAGAAGGCTCAAAGACGGGCAGCCGAGGCAGGCAGCGAGGGACACTTGCATGGCAAGCAAGCTCGAGTGATCGGTGACCTGGCTCCGCAGACGCTGCTGGGCAAGATCGTGGTGTGTGGAAAGCAGACAGACAGCCAAGTCCTGATCAATGCAGATGGATTTCATGAATGGGTCAGCCACACAGACATTACGCTGGACGTCAGAGACAGACAGTTTCCGCTGGTTTTGGATTTTGAGTCTTTCCCCAGTGCTGCAGCCAGTGAGGAAGCGGCAGCCAGTGCAAAAGATTTGCGGCTTTACAACCACGGAGAGCTGCTGACAGACAGCCAGCTCCAAGCTGGCATCAGGGAGATGTCATACCGATTCTCCCATGGAGCCAGCCAGCCTGTGTGTTTTGCAGCCAGCAGAGGCCAAGCAACTAATCCAGACACATACACTCAAGGCAGCAGCAAAGACAGCCATGGACAGCCAGGCTGGTTTGGTCTTGGCAGTGGTGCAGAGCCAGCCTCCGAAACACTGGTCCTTGCTGGTGGTCGAGACAGTCAGAGACAGCCCCGAAGCGAAGGTCAGGTACTATGACACGTTGCCCGGTGAGGCAGCCTACAAGGAAGCCAGTGCAGTTTTGAAGGTGCTGCTGCAGACAGCCTTTGCCTGCGCCAGTCAGTCTGCTCAGACAGACAGAGGGCTTCTCCTGCGGCCTCTGGGTCTTGCTGTACCTGGAGCAGGAGTGGCGGCGGTGGATGGGTGAGGCCCCGCAGCCACTGCAGAAAGACCTGCCAGCCAGAAGCAGCCAGCTGAACCGCTGGATTCAGCTGCTGCTGCGAGGCAAAGAGCTAGCCAGACAGAAAGAGAGCCAGCAGCAAGACAGCCAGACAGCAGGAGACACCATCGTTTTTGGCTGTGCCCACTGCAGTTTTGCTCTGAGTGGCTGCCTTCGCTGCAACAGAACGCAGTTTTTGAAGTATATGAGTAGCCAGGCACACAAACAGGCAGAGGAGGCAGCAAAGGCACCCAAGGCCAAGGCCAAGACCAAGGCCGAAGCAAAGGCGAAGGCTCTTGGAAAGCCAGGCAGCTCAGGAGCCATCTCGTGCACAACTAATGAATTACATCTCGAGTTCTAAATATACAGTAATTACTTCTTCGTACTGGATGTGCCTGGTTTCGCAAGCTGGCCGAATTGTGCAACATCGTTGTACAAGCTCAGTACTGGAAGTGCCTCGCTTCGCAAGCTGACTGAATTGTGCCAAATCGTAGTACAAGCTTGGTACTGGAAGTGCCTCGTTTCGCAAGCTGGCTGAACTGTACCACATCGTAGTACAAGCATAGTACTGGAAGTGCCTCGTTTCGCAAGCTAGTTCAATGGTGCCAAATCGTAGTACAAGCTTAGTACTGGAAGTGCCTCGCAAGCTAGTTCAATGGTGCCAAATCGTAGTACAAGCTTAGTACTGGAAGTGCCTTGTTTCGCAAGCTGGCTGAATTGTGCCAAATCGTAGTACAAGCTTAGTACTGGAAGTGCCTCGTTTCGCAAGCTAGTTCAATGGTGCCAAATCGTAGTACAAGCTTAGTACTGGAAGTGCTTTGTTTCGCAAGGTACTTTTTGAAAAGGCATTCTTTGGCAGTAGTGCAGACTTGACTAGATGTGCGGTAACTGGCAGTAGTGCAGCAACTGGCAGCAGTGCAGCAATGACCAGTAGTGCAGCACTTGGCAGTAGTGCAGTACTTGGCAGCAGTGCAGCAATGACCAGTAGTGCAGTACTTGGCAGTAGTGCAGTACTTGGCAGCAGTGCAGTGATGACCCGTGGTGCAGTATTATGCAGCAAACTGGCAGTACTCCCGACGCAGGGTGCCCAGAGCTTTTGGTCACCCAAAGTCTCGATTCCAGGCGGGGAAAGGGCCTAAATGACGCCTCTGGGGATTGAACCAGAGGCTTTTTCCTTGCCTTCGATATGAAACCTCCGCTCACCCATTAGGCTATGGAAAGATAGTTGCTAGCACAGCGGTGACCCCATGTGCAGGCACGGCGGTGACCCCATGTGCAGTCACGGAGAGACTCCAGGCGCCGTCATTTGCTAGACACCTTTTCGAAGGCCCATGAAGTCCTTTCCAAATAGCTGATTACGGGTGGCGCTTGAACTGCCTTCCCTTTCCAGATCGCCTGCGGCCTAATTGGTTGTTCAGTCATGTCACCATCCCGAGTCGGTCGACCACCCGGTCATAATCACAATAGTCGCAGCCCGGTGGGGTTTCCGGTGAGTGCTCCGAGTCGCCACCCCCTTTTGCTGAGTCTCCCAGTGCCGACTGCAGTGAAGCTTGCCCTGTAGCTTCGGGTTTCTGAGCTTGATGTGAAGCTTCAAGCGCTGGCCGGTCGCCTTGCTGTGCAGTTCAGTCTCTCCTGCTGTGTACACCGGCTCCAGCTCCAGGCCCATGCTGAGCAATCGATGCCAGTCTTCCAGCTGCAGCTCCAGAGGGAATTACAGAGGTAGGGGCTTAGCCCTGAACTTTAGCCTACACCAAAAAACAGGAGCAGTTGCTAACACCTCCAATGGTGGCCGCTGGACCCAGGGAGTCCCGACCATCAGCTCTGTCCAATTATTATTTCCTGCCTGGTCTAGGATGCAGGCAGAGCTGCAAAACCAATTTTGGCTCAGTGGTTAAGGATTGGGCTTTGTTGCCCGAGCCATAGATCAAAAGAGTTACCTTTACGGGTAGATCAGCGCAAACCGCAGGGAAGTAGGGTTTTGATGGTCTTGTGGTTAAGATGCTCCCCTGGTTGTGTCAGGAAGCCCGACACCAGGCAGGTCCTGCTTCATGGTAGTACAACACGGGACTAGCTCGGCTGATAATTACTGGCTGGCTGAGACTGGCGGGGCCTAATTACTTGCCTTGTTTCGCATGCTGGCTGGATTGTGCCAAATCGTAGGACAAGCTTAGTACTGGATGTGCCTCGCTTCGCATGCTGGCTGGATTGTGCCAAATCGTAGGATAAGCTTAGTACTGGATGTGCCTCGTTTCGCATGCTGGCTGGATTGTGCCAAATCGTAGTACAAGCTTAGTAATTAATTACTGGAAGTGCTTCGTTTCGCATGCTGGCTGGATTGTGCCAAATCGTAGGACAAGCTTAGTAATTACTGGATGTGCCTCGTTTCGCAAGCAGGCTGGATTGTGGCAGATCGTAGTACAAGCTTAGTACTGGAAGTGCCTCGTTTCGCATGCTGGGCAGGATGGTGCTGGATTGTAGTAATTACGAGCTTAATTCATTAATTAATTACTGGAACTGCCATTAATTACTTAGACATAATCAGTATCGTCCTTCATGCACCACATAGTTAGTTTCAGTCTAATTACTCCGTTAATTATCTGGATTTCAACATCTAATTATTAAAACTTCCACGGACCGCTCGCACCAGCCGGGAAGGAAAGCTGACTTGAAAGGAAGTCCCGCAGGCAGGACTTCATTCAGACGCTCGCACAGACAACCAGATCAATCAATTCAGTAACTTTACCATCCGAGATCCGTCACTTTCCATTCTCTGTCTCCTTTTCCAACGAAACATGCAGGCCGGGTTTGCCGGAAGACAGCCAGCCGAGACGCCTGACAGCCGCTGCAGGCCGACTCTCTTCGATTGTGCAGACACCAGACGGCTTGTTCAGTGATAATTATTAAGTAATTGGTCAAAGATAGACAAGAACGACTTTCCGTCAAAGTTTGTTTCCTGCCGAAAAGAAGCATGCAGG